CTGCTGAGGATCAAATGGACAGACAGGATCACCAACGAGGAAGTATTAAGAAGAACCAGACAGAGCCCGTCAGAGATGAGGTGGGAAGAAAACGTTGGCGATGGATTGGACACACTCTCAGGAAGTCAAGCAGCTGCATAACAAGAAAAGTGTTAGATTGGAACCCACAGGGTAAAAGATCAAGGGGAAGACCTCGTGGAACCTGGAGAAGAGTCACGGAAATGGATGTACAGAAAAGTGGGAAGACGTGGAGTGAAATCAAGCGACTAGCCCTGGATAGGGAAAGGTGGAGAGTGGTTGTTCGCGACCTATATCCTGACCCAGGGTGAGAAAGGCAATGATGATGATGAGAAGAAAGGAAGTAGTAAGACAGGTTTTGAAAATGGGTATTCCAATGTAAAGCGAGCTACTTTTTTTTTGGGAAATGCGCTATATAAATGTTATATTATTATTATTATTATTATTATTATTATTATTATTATTATTATTATTATTATTATTATTATTATTATTATTATTATTATTATATTAAGTTATAGTGAAACTTTGTTTGAAAACAAAAAGGTAAGAGGAAAAAGGAACTTGGGACCCAGCTGTAGATGCACATCCAACACAGACAAGCAAACACAATGCACTAATTCTTCTAGCTGCATACGTCAACTCAAGGGTAAATTGTTCAATGTTGACATAATAATGCATGTACAAAGATGAAAAAAAACAACCTGATTGGTGGGCAATCTGTCTGTTTCATTTCTATTGCTATTAGGTTGTCAGATAGAGAGAGCCCGCTCCCCCACCCTGCCCACACGCCAGATAAACAGATATTTAGATAGGAATATAGGCAAACTAACGAATAGATAGATAGATAGATAGATAGATAGATAGATAGATAGATAGATAGATAGATAGATGAACGCGAGGTTTCGAGACTACTTACCATTTTTCACCTTAAAAAAATCCTCTTTCTAATGTGTCAATATCAGAGTTTTACTCGAGATGGCTCTAACACCAGGAAACAGAGATCAATACTACATTGTTTTACCCGGTCCTTTATAGTTCACCGTTTCACATGGTACAATCTACGTCATTGCACGAACTGCGCGAACTGTTTCATACAGATTATGAATCACCACAACATCAAACGAAATCGATGGAAGGAAATTTCGTATGCATTGTCCAAGTAAAGCAATCCAATTTCTTACAGGTAGCGAGAGAGAGAGAGAGGGAATGGGAGAGGAATGGTCACTACTTGTAAAAGGTGTGACTGGTCATTGTGTGAGGGTTGTTTCTTGTGCCCAGCGGGATAAGGTACTATTGTGACCGCAGATTGAGCGACAAGGCGATTAAGGACTCTCCAAGCACGCTGTTGGCTGGTGCATTTATTGTTTGTTAAGACGCCAGAGCTGGTGGTAGAAGAAAAGCATGCCAGTAGTTGTTGGAAGCCACTGTGATCTCACGGCTCATTAGCGGAGGGACCGCTGTGCTTATCCGACCTGAAGCGAGAATGATCGCCCAAGCTGTCGCTATACCTTTGAAAACAGGCGCCGGCTCGCGTTGTGGGTTTGGTTGCGTGTCTGAGGGGAGGACGGGTCGTGGGGATGATTTTTACTTATATGTGTTTTGGGTCATGATGCTGAAAAGATCATGGTCACATTTTTAAGGTTAGAGACAATCCATTTTGAGAGTTTAAACCACAATGATTCCATGTACTCTAATTATTTTTCACTTACGCACTCTTTTTAAAGAAGCATCTTACTCTGGGATTAATCTGTTGTTCAGTTCGATATTATTTTATAGTAATCTTTGGAAGGACATGTATATTATGATATAGGCAATGAGTTAGCTAAGAATACTACCCCCACTACCAAACCCAAAATTATGTGTTCTTGAATTTGGGTTGCAAGCTTTACTTTACTTTGCAAGGTTACTTTCGACGGTCGTACTGGTGACACTCTAGACGATCTGAGAAGAACGTATTATAGGTGACACTGTATTAGTTCAGTTTTGGTAAGTGTTTTACGGCACTTGCAAAACAATTAAGTCATATAAATGCCGAAAGACTGTGTATTAGAAACAGATGTTCCTTCTTTTTCTTTTTATACCACCTTTCTGATTTGAAAGGTGTTTGCGAATTACAGCATCGCTTGAGGGGAAACCAAAACAAAAAGCAACGAG